GGGGAAGGTACCTGAAGGCACAGGACGGGATGAGTCAGCCCAGAGAAGAGCAACTAGGCAGAGGCTAAGCCGCAGGGCACCCCAGACATGAGCAAAGAATGCTGTGAAGGTAGCAGAATGACGGTTCTGGAAGTCAAGGAAAGTATCTCAAGGAAGAGAGACTCTGTCAAGTCCTGCAGATGGGACTGAGAATCGGCCATTGGGTATAACATGGAGGTTACTGTGAGAAGAGCAGTCAGTGGCGGGGAGGGGGCCGAGGAGGGGAGGAGAAAGGATGAGGAGATGATGAGTCTGGATAACCCTCCCGGGGAGTCTTACTGGAAGCAGGAGCAGAGACAGGAAGTGGTAGCTGGTAGCTGGCAGGAGAAGATAATAGAACAATCTTTAAGCTAGGAGAAATAACAATGAGATACTGCAGATGAAACATCTGGGAGAGGAGGAACCAGTGGTGCAGAAGGGGGCGACTGCCGGAGCAGCATCCTCAAGCAGGTCCAAGGGGGCAGGACCTAGTGCACAAGTGGAAGGGGGCCTTTACCAGGAGCAGACACTTCACAGATGGGGAAGGGCAGAGCAGTGGGCACAGATGCTGGTGGATGGGTGAATCCATTGCAGGAGTCTGAGGATGTTCTGATTGCTTCTACTTTCTTAAAGATTATCAGCCAAAGGCCAGCAGATGACACAACGGTTACATCACTGGACTTATACATAGTCAACCACAGTTTGAGTCCCAGACCTGGAGGCTTAAAATTCATGCCAGACACATGTGCATGCGTGCCAAAAATTCTGAGAGGAGAATGGAGGAGAAGGGAGGTGATTTCTCGCTTTCTGTCTCTTGATCTCTCTCTGGCTTTCTGGTGAGTATATGCGCCCTATAGCAAAAAAAAAAAAAAAAAAAACCCTCTCCTAAAAAAAAAAAAAAAAAAAAAAAAAAAAAAAAAAAACCTCTCTCATAAAAAAAAAAAAAAAAGATTATCAGTTGAAGGGGAGGGTGGGCAGAGAAAGTGTGAAACGGTCACCTAGCATAGAGGAGAGCTGACGGGCTCAGGACCTGTGGTATGGCTTCTGGACAGCACTTAGGGGCCACCTGAAGTTCACGGTGTTGAACTTAAGGTGAGACCAATCAGGCGGTGGTTTTCTCAGCCCCATTCAGCTGCACAGGTGCAGGCGGAGAGTAGGCCAGGCATTGGATTTAACCAGGGTTGGGGGTTTTGCCAAGCAAATATCAAGGAGCAAAATGAGGTAAGGGAGTTGGGGAGTCAGCGAGGGAGGGATTACCCTGACTCTTTGGGGGGCAGCTGCCTCTGCACTGGCCCCTGGTCCCTCACAAGCCCTTCCCCCACCGGCATCTGGAAGCCCACTTTCCATTCCCTGCTGTGGATTATATGTGGCCTCCCCTCTGCCCTCACCTTAAAAGGAGCACCTGGAGGCCACCAACACCCGGGGAAATATCTCCTACCCACCTGGAAAGAACCTCTGACCTCACACGCAAACCCACATCCTTCATTACCTTTCCCAAGTTAGAGCACAAGCTCTTTCTTCCCGCTCTCGCCAGCTCCAGACACAAGAGCCCATCCATTCTGCCTCCTAAATTCACCTCTGTCCATCCCCTTCTTGTCATCCTCTGCCCACTACGCCCCAGTCCCAGCAGGGCCACCAGACCACACTCCATTCCCTCTTTGCCTTTCTCTGTGCACCAGACACAGCAGCCTCAAATCCAGTTCCCCAGCTGGTTGAGCTGGCTGGTGTCACAGCCTCCTGACAGGTCTCCTTTCCATCAGCAGTTGGCCCAGCCCACTCGACTCCATCCTCCTCCGAGCGCCTTCCCAGCACTCAGAAATGCCCCATCGCTCGCCTTTTCAAAATCCTCAGTGGCTGCCAGAGCCCTTGGGAGAAAGGCCAACTCTTCAGCCCATATTCTAGGCCAGTTGTGGTCTGGGCCCACCTTCCCATCTTGTCCCCCATATCCTGTCCTCTGACTATGCCCTTCACTGCTTCTCTACGCTTCCCCCCCCACCACCCAGTCACCCACTGAGCTATGGTTCTCCCACCCACACCCCAGAAATTGAGGCCCTTGAAGGCCCCACCTGCTTCACTGCCATTCTCCACTTCTGGTCTGAAGTGGGGTTCAGTCAGTGGTGCCGACTGCCGACCTGGTGCACAGATAAGCAGGTGGATGACGATTCTAGAGGCAGGGAAGGGGGTGGAGCAGGATTGGAACAAAGGACCCCACAATCATGTGACCTAACTTAGCACCACCTATTACAGGACAAGTTCATACCAAGTGCCTCCCGATGTGGTGCACTGAGAAGAACATGGTATCACCTACGGGATATTCTTGCCCCAAAATACTTAGCCTGCATCTGATCATGAGCAAACAATGAAACTCCAGAACGTGGGACAGTCCATGAGTCCTCAGAATCGACAATATCATACAAAATACACATTTAAAAACTTTTAGATCAGATGATTTATCCATATTAAGATTCTAAAGAGTTACAGGGCTGGCAGGTGGCATGGTGGTTAAGGCGCTGGACTCCCACATGGCTGACGATGGTTTGAATCCCAGACCTGGTGGCTTGCTTTCTCACTTTCCCTTTCTCTCTCTCTCTGTCTCTCTCTCTGGCCAAATTAAAAATAATAAATGAAATAAAATAATTCTTTAAAACAAAAAGAGTCATGATAACTAAATGCAAGGTATGCTCCTGGATCAAAAATCTTAAAAAAGAAACAGCTATAAAAGACATTACTGGGGCAACGAGAGAAACTTGAATATGGACTATAAGGTAGGCTACATTTCTTGGGTATGATACTAGTCATTTTGTACAAAAAAGTACTTGTCACAAATTCATGTTGAAGTATTTAGAGGTGAAGTGTTATGATGTCTGCAACCTACTTTCAAAAGGTGAGAGAAACAAGCATGGCAAGATGTGAAGAACTGGCAAATCTGGGTCTCTAGGTAAAGGGGATGTAGGTGGGTGTTCGTTGTACTCTCGGGTCTGATGAGATCAAAAGTTAAGTGGGAGAAGCAAAGGAGTGGAGGAAGACACTCCAAAGATGGGCATGCAGGGATTGGCTTGCGGGCAAGAGTCAGGGGAGACGACGTTCGTCCCCCTACCCCCTGCAAGCATGCTGAGCTGTGGGAAGGCCCTGAGCTGGACTTGATGTCACCCTGGTACAGCCTGCTTGACATCACCACCTAAAGGGGGCCAGACCCCAAGAAAGCAGACTCAACTGTGAGCAAACTTGCTAGGGGTGAGGGCTGGTAAGGAGACTAGCAGGGCAGCTCTCAGCCCTGGCAGGGACATGGGCCCCTCCCCCACTCTTGCTAACTTGTGGCAAGGGGCCACGTTGGCCCCAGACCCATCTCACCTCCGGAACACCCCTCCAGGGGTGACAGCCTGAGTGTATCCTCCCGTGTGAGAAGCCAGGCTAAATATGGAACCCCAAACATAAGATGCCATTCAAAACAGATTTTCCTGGAAAAGACCATCTGGCAAAGGAGATCTAGAGGACTGTCTGTCGCGAGAGGCAGCATAGATCTGGAAACTGACGTCCGGAATGGAAATGCCTTGATCCATCTCTCTAGAAGATCCCAGTTTAGTGCTTCAGTTTCCTCCAAGGCACTCGACCTCAGGGCCTGAAGAGGAACCCAGTCCCCCTCCCTCCTGCACCGTCTCTACAGAGAAGAGGCTGAGGTGGGGGACGCAGGTCTGACCATCAGACACTGCTGCCCAGGTGCAAATCCTGACTCTGCCACTTACTAACCAAGTGGCTTCGAACAAGTAAGTTTTTCCCGAGCCTCAGCGTCCTCCTCTGCCAAGTGTGAATAATCGTGGTGTCTCGCTCTGGAAGTTGGCATGTGTATGGGAGTGCCTGGTGCAGGAGTGGTGCTCAGTGCCTGGAAGCTGGGCAATGCGATGTCCACCAGCACCGGCCCCCGAGCCTTCTCAAGAGGAGGACATCATTCTTTCCAATGACCTTTGCTCCCCTAGCCCCTTCAGGAGAGACCCTGAGAGGAACCATCGGTCAGATCTGCTGGAGGAGCTGCCAGACCAGGACAAGCAGCAGAAGCGAGCCCTCTCGGTCTGGCGCAAGGCACTTCTGGGGCTATGGCGTGCACCCACCCAGGCACTGAGATGGTAACACTGGGGGAGACACCAGTGGAGGAGGCAGTCCAAGGACATCAGTCATCCCTCTACCTTGAGCTGGGCCAGCACCCACCTACTCACCTCAATGTGTGGGAACCTTCTGGAGGTTTTGACCACACTCTAGGGACCTGCCATGTTTCCATC